ATCACCGTGAGTTCCACGGGATTACTTTGGCAAAGTCAACAAAATTTAACTCAGTTGAATAGTTACTAGTTCGTTGATTGGTTATTATTGCTATTATAATTGTCTCGCATAAAATTTGCTACAGCGCTCTGTTCTGACGTAGATGTTTTTACTAAATTTCTAGAACGCTTGGTTTGAAGTACGTGCACTCTCATGGTGCGGGACGGTGTACGTACGAGGCAAATAGGGGAATGGCTTACGTACGCTGCACCTCCTTATTTTGGAAGTACCAATATTTGTGAAACCATCACCTCATATTCGGCAGCCGTCACCCATATTTGGGCTGTCAGGAGATTTATTCGACAATTCTATATCTCTAGTAGTATATTTTCATACGTTGTCACTTGTATAGAGTTTTATATTTCAGATACCGTCACACACTTCGTTCGATCGTAAAATTGAGACATTTTGAAAGCTAATACTTGGGAAAGAGACGTTAGCCCCCGACCAAATATTAATTCTTTTTAAACTGACATTTAATATACCGTGTAGAATTCTACCAAAGTTTTACCAAACTGCCGTCTACACGACACTTTTCGGCGTCCAGTGAGCTGCCAGATAGGTCTTCCAATCGTGCGATGATAATATCACAGAGTATGAACTAGGAGTATGGACAGCGAAAACAATGATTTAAGCCAAGAGTAGGTACAATATCAACGGATAAGTTAAGAACCATTAGAAATCAGCGTGTAGACACGGCTCTAGATTTGCACAGACAATGTTACAATGCTAATGACATTAGAAATGATCGAATGTCACTCCATGACCATTTCATGTCGAGCTATGAACTGAAGCTGAAATGTATGTAATATGGTATCGGAAAGAGAACTTATGATATCGACCCCTTTGCTAACCATGCGTCTCCGAATGACGTCAGAACATGATAGGGTCTCGCGCTGTCACCCCCTCTCTCTCTCTCTCTCTCTCTCTCTCTCTCTCTCGTTCCCTCCCCTTCGACCTTCCTCGCTCCTTCTTTGTATATCTCTGTTCCCATTCCCCCTACCCCTTAACTCTCTCTCTCTCTCTCTTTACCCGTTCTCTTCTCTTTCATTCTCTTTTATCTACCTCTCTGTCTCCTGTATCTGTATGTTCATTGCTTCCATGCTTTTCTCTCTTTCTTTCCCCGACTATCTTAATATCTTTATATCACTCACTCCCCGCCCATCCCTCTCTCTTTCTCTTCACCCTCCCCCGTCTCTCTTCTTGTTCCCAGTCCAGTATTCTCCTTTATTTGGTATTTCCTGTACTATCTCTTTTCACTCAGCGGTCTAGACTTAAGAGCGATGAGCAGGTGTCGAGCAATATCAATCAGTGCTTTCAATTATTATCACTCATAGATATCAGATAATCAGCCATGGTTATTGGAGCACTCCGAAGAGAAGATGGGTAAGGGAGAGAAGGGGGGGGGGACAGAGAAATATATTGAGGATTTGAAATAGAGAATGAGAGAGAGGGGGGGGGGGAGATAAAGGGTAGGATACAAGATTGGATGAAGAGAAATAGAGAGTGGAAATAAGTGAGTTAGGGTACGTTTATGCTCAACTTTTTCTGGCCAGAATGAGGCATTTGTTACGCGTTTAGTTCAAAACACGGTTGGGTCCTTTCTCATTTTTGTAGAATCACAGAAAAACGGCGATCGTAATCGCCGATCGTAAACTCACAAAAGGTGCGTTTTGGATCGGCGATTCTGCAAATTTAGCGATTCTGGGGAAGCATAAACGCACAATTCATTTGTAAACGCGTTTAAATGGGGTCAACGTAGTATGCGCAGTGCAGAATAGCACTGCACTTCTCTGGCTCCTCCAGGCATGATTCTGGCTCTGAGCCAGAATCGTGCCTAGAGGAGCCAGTGAAGTGAGCATAAACAGTACACCGTGGAACTGCGATTACGATGAGCGTTTCAAATCGCTCATTCAGCCTTCAAAATTGAGCATAAACGTACCCTAAGATATACACAGGATGGATGAAAACAGATGAGAGGAAGGGAGTGTGAGAGAGAGAGGGAGAGGGAAAGGATAGGGTGAGATGAGGGGTATCCTTACACTAAATCCTTACCCTGCATTGGATGGGCTGTACACGCAAACAAAACAAGATACAATCAATGTTCGCTGCCTACAGGAACATCGAGGCAAGATTAATTTCTTTATTAACAAATCTCACAGCCTCACATTCATTTCTTTATAATTTGTATATACCATAATTATACAGATTCTTTTAATTTCAATATAAACCATTGTTTTGTCATTTATACTTGCTGGTCCATCTTGTGCCGGAAACAATTCCAACTCTCAACTTTGAACTCTTTGTCACCTAGTCCAAAGCTTGTAGACATACTTAATTAAGACCACTCATTGGACTATTTGTACTGAAATTCATGTAAATTAAATATGTTAATTTTTTGATCGACGCTCATCTTCTGAAGTCTATTATCGAGTTTGCTACTGCCAATTTGATGTTGACAAATTGACGTCTCGCGCAAAATACGACAGGGTTTCAATTAGCTATAGTAGTTGCAATCACTCTGTTTCACCGTCCCTTTCTGTACAAAGACTTTCATTGGAGCAAGTATAGCTTTCGGCTGTAACAGTGGAACTATAATTGGCTATAGCCCTGAAGTGATTGAGAAATTGAATTAAAATCTGCTCGATTAACATTTGACATTTATATTTTCTTCTACCCCTCCCCTTCTCCTCTTGCTCTATTCTCTGATATGTCTCCACCTTCTACCCCTCCCCTCTCTCTTTCTATGTCTGCCTATGTCTACCCCCCCCCCCCCCCGGTCTCTCCATTCTCTGTCTTTCTGTCGGCGACTGCAGGCGTGACGAGCTGACTTTGCTTTATTCCCATCCTCGTCTGAATAATAATGATCACGAAGCGAGTGAGCGAGCTCAGTCACGCCAACAACGTCCGACACATACATACACAACACAGTGGACAAACTTCCCTGGGGTGTATGACATTAATATACGACAACGAATTCCAATATCGACTTCAATTTTAAAGGGAAATGAAACCCCCAAAAGACTAGCTGATAAACCTATTTATTATTACCAACCAGATAAAAACAAATGAAATAACTCCTATTTGATTAATCAGCAAGGCAACAGTCCCTCCAAAGTTAGCAATTTCCTTGATTTGTCCATTATCACAATCATATTTTCGGCATCATAATTTGTAGGATTGTAAAATTTTTGCAAAATAGAAGTCATGGAAATTGTTTTTGTTTGTACATTGCAAATGTCTATGAGAACTTGACAAGTTACCTTTATAGGTACAGTAACATACAATTCAGTCTCAACAATTAATTCCGGATTACCTGATCAAATGGGTCTTACATGTGTGTGGTCACCTGCTCTTTCCTACTGATCATTGGGCAATGGTGATAGAACACATTGATGTTAGCCACTGAATTATCATCGTTTCCATTTTCCATTCTACACAATCACTCCAAGGGGCACTTCTGCATTTCTATATTGGTTCTATATGTTTACGTATGTCCAATTAGGACAATGAGACATGCTCATTTCAAGCCTCAATTCGTTTGTGGGAAATGGTTGGCTTTCAATAAGTGAATTATATATGAAAGACAAATAGGAAGCGGGATATGGAAGGGAGCCACAAGTAATAAAAACTTATTAAATAGCAACCAAACAAAACAGACTGAAAGGGGGCACATATAGGTACCTTACATAGGTTTTAAAATATTTGTTAAAGGGCGCGGTTGGGAGGGGGTACATGTTGGGGTTTATGAACTTTTGTATGCCACTTGCCACTTTGATTTCGAGGGAGGGAAGGGGTATGAAGTTGAACCATTGTGCCTCCCTCCCACTAATCTGCCAATGCTATAGAGTTATCTCCTTCTCTTATAATAATGTATATCTTCATCAAAGATGGACGTTTGATTTTTACAGAAATCAAGTTAAGTCAGATTGCTATTTCATACAGGGGTGGATCCAGGAATTTCTTCCCGGGGGGGGGGGGGGGCACACGGGGGGTAAAGAGGACATATATATAAATATTTGTTTTGGTCCCAAAAAAATGGCAACGACTCAGCCAGCCGCTGAATAAGCGGGGGGAGGGGGAGGGCGCACTATTTTTTTAATTTTTTTTTTTTTTTTTGGCCGGGGGGGGGGGGGGGTAAGTGCCTCCTGTGCCCCCCATTTTGGGGAAAAGAGGGTTAAGTCAAATATGAATGAAGAGTCACGATCGCCAGACTACAGATAGCCTATATAAATGTGATTGAACTCTCAGTCTCATGTGCCTAAAAAATGGCACCGCTAGAATAATTGAGCGACTCTCATTCATATAGATTTAACCCGTTAAATAACGAGATGCTGAGAAAATGCCAAGAGATATATCTTCGAAATCTGGCATTATAGTAGCAAATTACGTTGTCATGCGTTTGTGTAGCTATTTCAAAATCTTTCAGCTCTTTCGGCTTCAAATAAATGGCTTTTATAAAGTGAGCTTCATTTAAAATATGAAAATTATCTCATTGTATTTCCTTTTTGTCACACTTGCTAATATAGCTGCCTGTAAAATTCACAAATAATATAAAATTACAGGACACAGGGCCCATGTGTTGATTTTTCCCTCTTTCGAACTCTCTCTCTCTCTCTCTATCACTTATCTCGATTTGATTCACATAGTATGAAATAGAGAGAATATAAGCACGATATGAAACCTCTGTATTCAATTTGTATGATATTCCTCTTGCATGGATAAAGAAATCGGATGTTAAAATAGAACCATGTAATAGTTTGATTCTTTGATAACTTGACTCTTAATTCCTGTAGGAGCTAGTTGGCTTCGTTACTGAATTCAAGTGGCCATGGGATCTTTCAATATAATGGTAAATCAAAGCTTTAATCGCGTATGATATTAACGTCTGTTTTATTTGGTTCCGTGAATTAAATCAACATAATCAATAACTATGAGCTTCATTTTCAACATATTTACAGGGTAAGGGATCCATCCAGCATCGACGTCAACACCGCGTCATCGAAACCTACCGTCGGTGTCATCCAGTTTGTCAACGGCGAAACGACGTCGACGACCGCCGTCAAGATGGCCGCTAAAACACCGTCGAAGTCTGACGCAATGGCTGCGGCTGAAGAGGATGTGATCGAGGAGTACCGCTGCGGGCTTTTCGGCTGGCGACCGGAGTGGCTGCAGTCATTCAATACGGCACCTTGGCTATTGGTGACTTTGACCGCGGCTGTGGGAATCGAGGTAAGTCCCTCGGATAGAATGGTTAAAGTTGGAATGGCTCCTCTCTTGGAATATCAATCTCAGGGCATAGGTGGATCAAAACCGGAAAAATTCGGCCGCTGTATAGCTGTTTCTTACACTACAAATCTACAACGTTCCTACCCTTAAGATAGACATAACTTTCAAACATTCTGGCTTCACTCCCACCCTCTTTTAGACAGCCCTGCATGTGCCCTTGGTGGGAATGTATGGCATTTTGTTAGGACCCGTTGGGGCCTTTCGGGATGAGATGGCGATGAAATAAAAGAATAAATCATTTTAATTTGTCGAAACCTAAACCTAGGCTCCTTGTTTATTACATTTCTGTAGAATATACATGTACTTCATCTCCAGAGCTCGCAACCCCCTTTAAGCTAGAGACCGAACTTTGCAATGTTAAAATGGGGTAGAGGACTGTCCATGTGCATCATACCACAACATTTTGACTGATCAGCGCATGCTGAGGTGTGATGTTTCCGTCTCGACGTGAAATATATTCATGACATCAACAGTGGCGGATCCAGGATTTCCTTGTGGGGAAAGTCTGAAATAAAATCAGACAAACAAGCAAAGAGTGTCTTTCGGTGTGAAACGGCTGCCGGGTGGCAGGAGGCACATGTTAGTTGTACTAATAATTGTTTACGCCAGAATTGGCTTTATTTCGTTGGGAGGCGCGTGTCCCATGTGCCTCCTAGATCCTCCAATGGGCAAGCATTAGCACATCATCAAATGACATGACTCATTATGGGGAAGAAACCACATACAGCTAAGTACAAGAGGAGGGAGTGTAGAAGACTGCAGAACATTGACAAAATGGTGTAACTACAAATGGAACGGACGTTACAGTAGTTAGTAAATGGTTTGAAAGCCGAAGGAGCAAAGCCACGCTTATTTGACATTAGTTTTCAGAATGTTAAGGTCATGTTGCTTAAACTTTGGAAGAAAGTAAGACATGATTTTAGAGACTCTTTAGGTTGTGAAAGATCATATCAACGGAAAGCTTATAAGCCATTTAAATTACATTAATATCAAATATAATTATGCTATTTTAGTGTCTGTCAGAGGAGTAACAGCTCTCTGAGAGCTCGAAATCTTTGAAAATCGGAAGTTGTCGACCTAAAAACTAGCTATCGACTGGATGACATCATCTTATGTCACAATGGATTTGCAGTAATTAAGGACGGCTCATCGCATAGGCTATATAGACGAGCCGATCCCATCCAAATATTATGTCGTCACTGTGGCAAATTTGACCCCTGGTGATCCATAATTTGGAGGGGCGTGGAAAATATTTCTATTCTGCTTTCCATTTATATAAAGTTTTTATTTTCATCGGATAGTGTCTTTTAGCAGGAGAAGAAACAAACAGTTAAGTGTAAAAGAGCATCGCGATGGAGGGGTCGTGACGCTAATTTCTAATTTTCTAATTATCTGTTTGCCTCCATCCGTTTTCGACCTTATTTTGAACAAAAGTGTATACTATACGAGAACAAGCAAGATTCCGATCTTACGTGAAACCAGACAAAATAAATAATGAGTGACTACCGACTCAAATAACCCTTCCCATTATGACGTCACTGTAACGGAGTATTCTTTCCGCATGTTTTTATTTGACCTTGTCTGATCTCTCTGATATGAATGGAAAGAGATAAGATGTGTCAATTTGTGTGAAGTCAAGGGAGTATTGACGAGAAAGATAACCGTTTTGATTTAATTAATGGAAATAGAGACGGCTGGAAATCTTGAAGATAATGGAGCAGACAGTAATCGGCCGGGATGCAGAAGGGCGTTAGCGCGCGAGCGACTAGAGAACTATTTTCGACATTATTCGCATTTAAAGATTTGTTTTATATTTAAACTGCTTTCCGTCCCCAAAATTGGTTTAAAACATGAAAGACTAATATAAATGTTGTAGTACAACACGGCCACAATTTTTTTCTCGGAAATAAGTCAGTTTTATTGATTAGTGCTAACGCCCTTCTGCTTAAAGTTTCGTTATTGACCTGAAATTCGAGCTAACGTCCTTCTACCAGCCAGGCGACGCAGTGATAAGGAGAAAATTGAGAGCTGTCCAGTGCCAATGCTGATCATTGTTTGTAAGCACAAACATTAATGCATCGTTTAAAGTTTTAAACTTTGAAGCTGAGAAGGCGTCACTATCAGACAATGGTAACTGATGGAGGCTTCAAACCAAAGTGACATGCAAGACTGGCACGCACAAGTAAGAAAGACATAAATGTGATAACTAATGAATAATAACGAACTAATAATCAACTAACGAAGTAATAATTAAGAACGATGAGAAACGTGAGATGGAGATAGAGACGGAGGAAGAATCGATACAGAGGAATAGAGAAAGGGGATAGCAGGGCAGAGAGGTTAGGGATGGAAGAGGCGGGCATGGGGCTAGGAAACAGGGGGTGGAAGAAAGCGGAGAGAGTTTGGCCTGTGGATGAGGGGAGTGAGAGGGAAGAAAAGAATAAGAGAGGAGATGAGGGATAAGAGATAGATCATGGAGATAAAAACCAGAATAAAGTAAGCTATATAATTATGTACAGTTAGGTTATGTGAAACTAAAAAGTTATGTACATGTATACAGAAATTGACCGGTAAAACAACTTTACGTACACTCATATGGAATCATGCCCTTAATGAAATTATCCTTAATGAAATTTCTCATCAGAGTATGTTATAAAGCCCATAATCATTATTATGAAACATCCATTTACAAAATGATAGGTTCCTTTAAATTTCGTCCAATTAATAGAAAATGTGTCAGTTCAAGCTCATGTAGGGGGAAGGGATGGTAAATGATAAAAGGGGGAAATGTTAGAGAGAGGGGTGGAGAGAGAATGGGAAGCAATGCGTTGAGATAGAGAGGGAGGGGAGGGGCCATTGAGAGAAAACGAAATAACAGATCGAATAGTAGCACATAGAAAGGAAATTGAGGTTTCTGGATGTTTATATTATTTTGAAAAATGAACAATAGCTGCCGAAGCCTAAAGGCGGGAGTAAATAAAATATAGGCGGCCAACAGATGCTCTGTAAACCACTTAAAATCATGAGAAGGACGCGAGATTGACCTAGAGTCTAGAGATATACCTCTTTCAAAGATGATTAAAATACTCCTTTAGGATATCTGTCGATTGGACTGAGAAAAAAACGCATTATAAAGTAGTTCAAAACAGTGATAAAAATGAGCGGCTAGCTGAATGTGCGATTTGATAGAGGATAACAACCATAACAGAATATATAGCTATGACCATAAATATCACAGAAAAATTATGATCACAAAAACAAAGATATTACACCATTATCGTCATCTCTATTGATATCGTCCTCATTTAGTCATCTTTGGCACTACCATTATCATCGTCGTCATCGTTAATATCATTTAACCACCACTAGCATTCACTATCACGATCATAATAATTATCACAGTCACCTTCATCTTTATTACTGACACAATCACGAACCCAGTCATCATCATCATCACCATTGATACCACCGTCATCATCATCACCATTTCTATTACCATCACCATCATTATCACCACCGTCATCACCATCACTATAATAATAATAGTAATAACATTTATAATGCACACATATCCACCACAAGAGATGCTCAAGGCGCCTAACAAGGTGAGTACATTGAACGAAAATAATTTAACATAATTAAATATAATTCAACAATGTTAGTTACATCCGATTTTGTGAAATACACTACGTCTTAACTAAGGAATTCAGACATTAGATAGGTTTTCAATTTGTTTTGGAACAAATTTTGATTGGCTGACATTTTGATTGGATGGGGTAGGGAGTTCCATAACCGGGGTGCAGCAGCTGTAAAAGCTCTGTATCCCCAACTCCTCTTTATTCTTAATTGTGTTAACCCTATTTAGCCCGGGCTATTTTGAAACTGCATAGCCCAGGGGGGGGGGGGGGGGCTTCTAAGCCCCCCCCTATGATCTCGGCCGTGAAACAACCGATCGCCGCGAAAAGTTGCATACATGTCAAGTGAAGTGTATAGAATACTATGGTAATTTCAATTTTTTGAAAAATTCACTCATTTGCATATTTATGGTAATTTATGCAAATAAGCTCATAAAATTCACATTTTTGCCAATAAATCAGACATTATTCATATTTAAGCATTCTTTCTCACTACATACATTTGTTAGACCATTTGGAATAATAATACAACCAAAAAATTGAAAAACCCGGTTTATTCCTTATGTTATCTATTTTAATAATTTCTCATGTATTTCTTTGTTTTTTTAACTTATGTATTTTATTGTTTTTGTTGTTTTATTTCATTTCCAACTATAATTCAACTATTTTGACCCCAAAATAAACACCAAAATTATAAACAAGACCAAATAACCAATGTTTTATCTCTTTATTTGAAAAATGAGATTTCCATATGTTTTGTACACAAATCACAAAAATGAGCGATTTTCGGGCTGACATGCAAAGACAAAAGGACACGTGACTTTGTAATGGTATGTCCGATTTTCGCAAAATTTCTTTCGAAAGATGCGCAAGACTCGAAAGAAAAAAGTCACAAAATTTCAGTGCAAGATTTTCTTGCGTTAAAAAATTATCGCGAAAAATGTCGAGGGGGGCTTCTAAAGCCCCCCCCCCCCCCCTCCCCCGGGCTAAATAGGGTTAAATTTGTTGAATTAGAGGAACGAAGACCTGCTCGAGAACTTAGAGAGATATTAAGAAGAGAGGAAATGTATTCTGCTAACCGTAAACATTTAAAATCAACCTTATCAAAAAGAACAATCACCATATGGACCCCTTTGAAGACCAGCTTTATGCTGAAAAGGGTGATCCTTCCCATATGTGGAAAATAAATTTAAAACAAAAAACAAACAAAAATATCAATAACCAATCATCACAGTAAATACAAGGCATAATAACTTGTTAATTTTATTTTATTATAAAACATAGATGCTATGACATTTTTCAATGTAAATAGTGTCAGAAAAGTTGGTTATTTAGTACATAATAAATATGGTAAATATTGAGCTTATGGAATGATACAACATGAAAACAAATTGACTCAATCGTGCTGAAAATCACACAGACTGCACGGAGAAAATTGGTAAATGGGACTACACACATTTGTTTATGGCATCAAACTTTTCCCCAATCTGTTCAGCTATTTCCCGTTATATATGCGGGGCTTTGAAAAACTATCCTTTACAAGTCTGCAGGGAGCACCATTTCTACTACATTCCTTAAAAAATGACATAAAATTAATGAGAAAGCTCACAAATATCCAGAGCTCGGCCTTCTCTTTTAGTTAATAATTGGATTAATTTTGATCGTATACATGGCTTCATAAAACATGAAAAGTAAATAGCCTTGTGCGTCACCTATTGAATAGGCCAATATGGCAATGATATATGACGCAAGATATTACGTCATTTCTATAGACAATTTATTGTATTAAAAATGCCCCTGATTTCTTAAGTATTTTCGATCGTGTATTGGTATTGTCTTAATAAATATGATCCATGATAATCTTCATCATCTTCATCATGTATGGTGTATAAAGTTTCTAAAATACATTGCACGAAAATAATACAAAATTCATTAGATGTTATTCTTTTAATATGCATAATTAAATAGGACGGTTGCTTCGTGTACAGATTGAATTGGTTCGTAACAATACACTTTCAACTTTCTGAGATGCAACGATTATTTTGTATAACGTATAGATGTCGGTGTTTTACAACTTTACCATGTGATAAAGTAATTGAGTAGTATATATTGATGTAAATATTGTAAATTTAAAAATAAAATCTCTTTTTTTTTTCTTTCTTCAAAGTTCTGCACATTGACACTTTGAATTCAGGATATACAATTATTTTCGTTTATATCGCGATATGCCTTGGATGAGTTACACAAATATCACAAGCGACAAGCGTATTTGTTTCCAAGTGTACCTTTTCTACCAAAATCTATATTGAGATGTTTCAACATGATGTGAATGAGTGCAGCAACAAAATGCATTGACGCATATTTACATGTGGAATTTCGGATAATAATAAACATAGGTAAAATAATGGAGTATGTTCATGACATTTATTATTGATCAGTTTCTTGTAAACTAATTTACCAGCAATACAGGAGGAGAAGAATCAGCAGCAATGGTACAATCATAGTATGCGGAGGCGATTTTATTCATGTATGTCGTATGGGACATTTTTCTAGTTTTATTAGCTGCAGAACTACACACATATTGATTAGACAAGCATAAGTAGTAGTTCTTAATTACTTGTATTATTTGTATCAACGAACAAAGTTCATGAAATATGAGGACCTTATTAAAAATCAATTATCATTGATGTAGATTACTATAAGGTTCATAACCTAAGACTTGCATTACATCTGAGCATTTATCTTCGACCTGCTGGATCTCAATACGACTAAGATCTTGGATCCAATGATTGGCTGTAAGACTTGAGTTCTTCTTCACATCGAATGTTCCATCAGTACCTTTTTCGCCTGCGTGTTCCTATAGACCCAATGCCTCACGTTCGTTGGGAGTTCTAGTCCTACGAACTTGTATAGTTCTTCAGTGATCATAGTGGGGTCATTGGCGAAGTCCTCGTACTTCAGCAGGTAGTAGCGGTCCTTGAGCCACTCTGGTGTCTGTCCAAAAGGATGTGTCGTCTCTCGCACCCATTGACACATGCCTGTGATAGAATCACTATGCCTGATCTCAAAGTCGAGGAGTTGGAGCCGCTCTAAGCGATCCGAGTACTTGGGATGGGCCTGCTCCTTGTTGGCTATCTTATACAGGTAGTTAATGCGAGATGCTGCAGAGCCTCGGGGATCTCGAACTAAATGGATCACCTTCACATTGAAGTGACCGTCGACAACGAGTGGTTTAATGGTGTTCAAATCACCACGGATCAGCTTGGCTGCGAGATGACCTTCATACTTCAAACAAACATTTCGTAACCATTCTGCATCAGGAATGTTGCACTCGGCATCCGTTCTCTCGCAGACGACACGATTGCGAAACTTTCCTCCCCAATTATTCGTGAAGTTCACCAATCCAATGAATTCATCGCTAAAATTGCAATTTGCAAAGTCTACCATGAGCTTCGTCCGGTAGAAATATGTTTCCGGAGTGAAAGGTCCCGGTAAACGCCACAGCGTCACCATTTGTTCCACAACCCATAGCGGTTCGTACAGAAAGAATATACCAGAGTTCTGGTTGAAGAGCTCGCCGATGACGCTTGAGCCGAATCTCCACTGGGCGAGAATGATAATTACAACGGGTTTCTCGTGGGATGAAACTGAAACCGTCCCCATAACATCGCCACCAGAAATTTCGACCCTCGGATCTTGTTCTAAGTTCTTTTCTTCAGCTTCTCTAACATCATTTTCTACACTTTCTGTCTCGTATTCATCGCTTACTCCGCTGTCACTTTCCGATTTTTCTAAATAAGAGAACATTCTACCGATACTACTTATTGAATCACTGCGGTGGGTTTTGACATGTATCTCACCTTTAAACATCCTCATAGCGTCCCGGGTATTTTGACAATGTCCCAGATCTCTAACAGTGCTCAAAATGTAGTGTAGTAGAGCCAGCACTACAACACAAAGCAGTATGTTAAACCACGGTTTGATTTTCACAATTAGCTTGAGCATGGCTGCTTGTCTTTGCGTGCAAAAAGTGGTTGGAAATTAAAGATTTATACAAATAGTATTCACGCACTGACACCGACGTAGCCCATAACAAGTATGTACAAAGATGCAGAGTATCATTCACTCTGGCTGTCAGGACGTTGTGCTCGCAAGCATACCCGGTGCAACGTTGACAGGTTTCGGTCCATGCAGTTGTATTTGCTGAAGTCCTTTACAATGTAGTATTACAGCTTGTAATATCCACTTTCTCGGGAACAAACATTCCCTCGCGTTCAAAAAGCATTCTAAATAGTACTGTCATTGGAGGAAGCCCTTGAAATAAGAATGAGTGTTGTGGACAGCATTGATTAAGACCGCAATTGACTATTGTATGGCATTACGTAACTGTCTTAGAACAGGTAACAACTTGGTCTGACTCCACTGATGAACCTGCTCAACCATGAAACCTTATAGAAAACCACGTGTGGCTTCTAAAGCAGGGCTCCCACTTAGCCGAGTTGGAGCCTCGAGTTGTGGCGAGCTGGCGCGATCTTATAGCAAGCAGTTTTATCTTTAAAAATATTTCTTGATATCAAGAATTCAATTCTTGATATCACGAAATGGAATTTCTGATATCACGAAATGGAATTCCTGATATCACGAAATGGAATTCTTGATATCAAGAATTACCATTGCTTTGCAACATAAAATTATTTCTTGATAACAAGAATTAATTATTGATATCAATTAATAATAAAACGGCTTGCCATAAGATCGCGCAAGCTCACCACAACTCGAGGTTCCAACTCGGCTAAGTGGGAGCCCTGCTTTATGTTCCGTGTGTGTGTGTGTGTGTGTGTTTGTTTGTTTGTTTGTTTGTTGTTGTTGTTGTTTTTTTTTTGGGGGGGGGGGCTTGTTTTTAATTTATTGCTGGTCATAATACAACGAAAATGAAATCGTACAACTATTTCAGCCTAGCTGATAACGACATACTCGGCTGACTCTTGAGCTGAGGAGGATATTTTGATTGTGTGTAAGTGTATGTGTGAGCGTGCATGTGTGTTTGTATCATGTTATTTTAAAGTTTTTAAACTGTATAATTTATGTGTAGTTTGTTTTCTTTTTAAGGCCCCACCACAAGCAATTTGCCTCTAAGGGTGTCCTTTACCGTATTATATTTACTATGTTACTCATTTGTATGTACATGTTTCATTGTTATGGTTAAAATAAAGTGAACTGAACTTTCAATATCCGGCGTTATACATTATCAGTTTACGAATGGCAGATGATGAGAGAAAAAGGAGAATAGACTGCGAGTTATTATGTCAGAATGGACGCTAGACTGCTGTATTACCAATATCATATTATAATATCGTATGAATGTGTTAGCAAAGAAAATAATACTAAGCTGGAAGAATTGATGAATATACAGTTTTTAGTCTACGTTATATTTCGCCCAACCATTGTGTAATATCAAATGTAAATATGTATTGAAATTATGGAATTAAAAACTCGCTTGAGGATAAGATAGAAAAAAAAACAATATCATATTACCCAATGTGATGAATATTGAATAATGAATGAGCGTCGATGTTTGAGGATGTTTTGATGGTGATGATGGTGGTGATGGCGATGATGATGATGATGATGATGATGAGGATGATAATGATGACGATGATGATGATGATGATGTGATTATGGTGGTGATGATGATGATGATGATGATGATGATAGTGATTATGGTTGCTATTTATATTCTTTGAATGGGAAGTAGAGAAGAATAAAATAGCAGCGAAACAGTGTCGTATAATATATAATTTGAGGAATTTGACGAGTCTCTCCCTCCGCCCCTAGCTATTATGAGCAGTATAAGCATTGCTACTGTACTAGTTATAGGTAATCGAATATTGAACTTGAGTGCTTGCCGATGAAAAACATAAGGTATTAGTAGAATTATCCGCATGTTGCGAAGGGCAGAAATACACAACAAGACACCCAGAAAAAGAAAGCAATGTTTGGCTGTTTGGATTTGTGTGTATGTGTTGGATTTTTTTGGGGTGTGTTTCGAGAGGCGTCTTGGTTCGACTGGATACGTCATGGGACTGTAGATCACATGGTTCCCGGTTCGAGCCCCGCTGCAGTACTAATGTCCCTGACTCCTTTGGTGAGACATTAATCTACATTTGCCACTCTCCACCCACATAAATGGGTACCCGGTAGGAAGAAATTCCTGGCATGCCATGGCGCCTTAGCAGGGTAGCTCGGCTGGTAATGGGGTAATAATAGTAAATCGCTTAGAAACATTAGTATCAAGCGCTACAACTGCTATTATTATTATTACTAGAAGTAGAAGTAGTACTTAGAAGTAGTAGTAGTAGTAGTAGTAGTAGTAGTAGTAGTAGAAGAAGTAGTAGTTAGGAGTAGTAGTGAAGTAGCAGTACTACTGCTACAAATACTGCTACTATATTAATATAATAACGATTATTCGTTGCATAAAGATGTTCAGTTCAAGGATGATATTATAGATATTGATATTTAACCGCAATAATAATAATAATAATAATAATAATATTGTCAACATTTTATTAGGCGATGCTGGTAACCGGGTTCGTTACAAGTTCATTGACCTCGATCGAGCGTCGCTTCCAGCTTCGTAGTCGTGATCTTGGCATCATCATCAGCAGCTTCGACGTCACGAGCATCATCCTAGTACTCTTCGTCACTTTCGTCGGTGGTCGTGGCAACAAGCCCCGCTGGCTCGGCATCGGTTCGATCATCATTGGCATTGGCGCCCTCATCTACGCCCTCCCGCACGTCACCACGGGTAACTACCGCTACGCGACCTCAAGGGTCTCACCGACATGCGGAGTGGACGCCGAAGCCGCGGCTGCTATCGGAGGCGATGTCACGATATCTTGTGATGATGTAATGGATGACAGACCGTCGAGCTTAGCTCAGTATATGTATGTTTTCATGGCTGGACAAACATTGATGGCCATTGGATCGCTGCCATTGAATACACTAGGAGTCTCTATGTTGGATGATAGTGTGTCTTTGGAACAGACTGGATTGTACATGGGTAAGTGAAATGTAAAGTCTCCTAAGAGTCTCCTTCTTAATTTGTGTAGTCCTGTAAAGCCGTTACAAGGCAGGGGTGCACAAAAAACTCACATGATTTTTGTTCCTTAGAAATGATCAATGTTTGGACAGCAAGACGTTATGTTTGCAATGTTCATGTCTTCTGTAGAATATGTACATGTATTCCAAAGGAATTTCCAATATAGAAATTACATTTTCAGTATAAGAAATTATACAATACAAATTGCTCACACTCTTTGCTTCGCCCGCTAAAATAGAATACCAAGAACTCGGTCTTTAGGCAAAAGACGTCGGTCAGCTTGGTAAAATTATTGTGCCCTCAGCCAATGAAAGCCATCACTGTACCCGCCCAATTCCATCAGAGTTGCATTTGAATTCATAAATAGGCGTTCAAGTTCGAACGATTTTCGTCAACTCTCTGCTCTCATGATTCATTTTCATTCTTTGAGCATTCAATTTCGTTTTATATCATTCCTCTTGAATTAAAAAAAAATTTCATTCAATTTAGAGAGAAGTCCATTCAATTTAATGACACGTAGTTATCTGTCATACAAGTTCGCGCCAGCTGGATAGACGTTCAATTTCGTCCTTATTACCAATTTCAATTTAATTATATAGGCACACACCGTCGCACTTTGAACGTTCGAATTAAATTAACATAAACAAGTTCTGTAGTTCTATGTAATTCTTACCGCAATTTGTTCACGTCATATTTAACTTTTTCACTGTTTCTAATTATATAATTTCATTTTCATTTGTTAAAGTTTCATAATATTCATTTTAATCATATTTTATATATTCCTTTTCTTTCTATTCGAGATATTCATGTACTCTCCTCGAGCCGCTGCCATAGTAATGTATAAATGAATGTATGCGTATGAAAGTGGGGTTATACGAGCTCTTGCTTCAATGACAGTTTGTCAGAGGAATAAGATATTTCAATATATACAAGGCAAACGTCCGCTTGGACTAGGACAGCTAGAGACAGAAGAGAATGGAAATGTTATGAGGAGGGCTTTGTCCAACGTCTGGATGAATTATAGCCTGATAGATAGATAGAAAGGTCCCATTTTACGGTACATAAAGTTTGCATAATTTATTCAAACAGATGCAGATTGCAAAGAACATAAACAGTAAAAAGTAAAAGATTTAAAAAAGACTGTCCAAAATGCTATAAACGCTTGCCTTTCGTGACTTTGAATTCCTTAACGTTCATAGGGGCGGTGCAGGTGCGAATTTGATTGCATTTACGTGCATTTTTTCATTTGAACGCGCTCTGTACACGTTTTTGTTAGAAAATCATGAAATTGCATGCTAATACAATTAAATTGAATGATTATTTTGTTAGCTTTTTGAATGTTGATCTCGGTAATCATTCCAATTCGCTCGAAATTGAATGATCGCATCGTTAAATCGGATGCAACTCTGATGATATTGGGCGGCAAAACCTATAATGATAATAGTGGGTTCTTGTATAGCGCTCATGTATGTCAGACAGACTCAGACTTGACACTCCTGGCGCTATAAAACACTTTCAATGAGGGGCATGTATTAAAAACCTGAATGTGTTATTTCATTTGTATGAAACAGTTGAATATTATTATTATTATTATTATAGAAATGGGAGAGTCTAGGACATTGGATATAAAAAGCGAACGGTAGCCTATATACAGCACACAACAGGAATATCAATAACCAATAAGCGACATAGCAAGAATTACAAACAATTAAGATTATATCCTACCCATTTTATCACTCAGAAAGCAGAAAGTCAGTGCAATAGAATAGGAAGAACAGTATACTTGAATATTTACCATGTAGATGAATAAACAAAATGGCCGCTTATACAACTACGATAAAGAAGAACGTGCAGATTGGTCGCCAACAGAACCGTTTATTTTTTTTTTTTTCATCTGTAATTGCATGTTTTAAACATTACTTGTTTTGTTTTTGTTGTTATTAATAGGTATATTTTTGGCTGTGGCATCTTTGGGACCTGCGGCTGGCTACATGCTGATGGGTGTCTTTCTCAATTTATTCACAAACTTTTCAAATCCGTTCAGGTAACATTCTTAGAAAATAGTGTTTTTACTTAGTGTGCATAATTATGACTGATTTTAATTATTAATTTAGTTAATTTGATATGATTTTATTTTATTTATTTGTTTTTCGTTTAAATATATGCACGATATATTTTGACATTAGGACATTTAATAGATTTCTACATCAAACAAACATGAAGAAAATTACAGGAAAAGAACTATGAATAGCAGGTCATTATTGATTTACATGTATATTAAAACGGAAGGGCATGATAATGGAGAGCATTGTTTGTGAGTTCCTTCCCCTTTTTTCAACCTATGTAATTTCGATATGAACAACATTTAATAGTATAAGATATATCTTTGAGTACCTTGCTGACAAATAAAAGGAAATTCGGGCACTTAGTTGCTCAATAATTATGCCGATATTCGCTGCTTGAAATCGTCCTGTTTCTAAATTATAATATTAGTCATTTTATAGTGCTTAATAATACCATGCGAGCGAGCGAGGCGATCGAGGGAGAAAGACACTTTCTTTAGTCGAGCGGTTTCTGATATTTGTTTTTCACGAATCGACGTTATTCCAATTAATTTTCTAAGTTGATAAATTTCTCTCGCGGCACCCGTAGAGTTGAAAAACGCTGGATCAGGTTATAATTAATTTAGACAGGGACAAAACAGAGAATAAAAGAAAAAAACATGAAATACTCAAGATGGGGCAGGTGGAACACAAGTACACAATATGGTTCCTATAGATTGGTTTAAAGGTCACTTATATTTTTTTCATTTTCTGTAAATCTTTTTAGTTCTTCAATATTTTTTGTAGATTCCCTTCAATGCCTAAATCATACATAAACAATTCATCTTGAATACAATAACTGAGAAACAGAACAATAAAATAATTGCATGTTTATCTCAGCTACGACAATGCTAATGATAACCTCCGCTATACACCGAGAACCAATTAGAAAGGAAAAAAAATCATTGAATGAAACCTATTATAATATTCAATGTATAACTAACTATTAAGATTTGTTTATTACAAATGTCACTATAATGATAACACCCCTCCTATAAAATACACACACGTACAGACAGTACAAACAAACACACACAAAAATAGAGAGAGAGAGAGAGAGAGAGAGAGGGAGAAAACAAAAGGAAAGAGAAGGAGAAAGAGGAGGGCGGCCTGTAGCGGCTGGGAAGAAAAGGTCAAACAAGGATAAAGCAATTGTGAGCCTGTGGGTTATCGACCGTAAAAATCGCCTCTGTGTTTGAATTCTCTCTAATTAAATTAACATTTTATGGAGGTACTCTTTACCTGAGGTACTGACTGGTTTTAGAAGTGGTCCTTACAATTGATTGGTTTTGAAAGCAACATCTTAACGACGTCATTTAGAAATATAGAGATTTTTATTTACTACCTTTTCTTTCACTTCTAAACATCCGAAACGTGCAAATTTAAAATTTTAGTTAATTCTATTTTTCTGTTCATTCGCAGAGAATTTTGGTTTTCGTCGGACCACTTAGGAACTATCATACTGATAGTGACCCAATTTCGTGTATTTTAGATTACCTTCTTGAAATGTTGTTCTTTTGTGGATGAGAAGGTTATCTTTATATTTCACCTCGATATAATAAAATATTGATTTATTCATTCTTTTATTCATCGATGCCATCAATCATTCATCCAATGATGTTTAATTCTTTCATTGACTATCAGGATGTCGTCAGATGTTGTTAAATGCAGGTATTCTGATGACACTCCTTCAGATTTACGTATACTACCATTTGCTCCCCCCCCCCCCCCATGTCCCGATGTGTCGACAACAATTTCCCATAGTGCATCACCACCTGCATGATGTGCTCGTGATGCCTGGATGCATATAGGAATTAAAATACATTACAGCAGTAGCGATGTCGGTAAAATACCCTGCCTTTAAGTCGTTTACTATTTTCATTTTTATTTCCATTGGACAGTACTGATATCAACACATCCGACCCTGGCTGGGTAGGTGCGTGGTGGATAGGGTTTGTCATAGCAGCAGTTCCAGCTTTCCTCATCGGGGTTCCACTTAGCTTCTTCCCGCGGGAATTACCAGGTAGGTCATCTGCCAGAAATTACATTTAACGATTTAACAAACAAAAACGGGGAAAAAAAAATTATATCAGGCAATTCATTGTCTCGAAGAAACATAATTCAGAGGAGTTTTCTTTTTTGTACGCCTCGTAGTGAATTTTAACAGATAAAATCGAGGCCTTTTTCCCCTAGCAAATTGTATTCTAAGATGCTAGATGCAATTCTTTTAGGTGGCATGCTGTTGCAAAAATCTGGGAAAGCAGCATAGATCTACTGCCATCGGAATTTACAATTTTTCTTGTAAGAAATAAATTAGAACTCTCAAACTCAATCAAACTGAGAGAAGAATATTCCTGGAAACCCCTAGTTGGGCCATGACAAGGGGGGGGGGGGGGGGTCAACAACCCCTAATATCTTTTTTAGAAAATGATAATTCGTTTCAAGTGTTCAAACATTTACTTTACCTTTGAAAAATCAATTTTAAACATAAATATGAATACTCTTAAGGTCGGGAGTGGGTAACAGTTATATGAGAATCTAAATCAATTCAATTTCCACGATCTCGTTGTTTCAGATACTGCACGAATAAGAGCCGGTAAAGAGAGCCAGGTTCACGCACGAGGAGGGGCACATGAGACTGAACGACCAGGCTTTGGTTCAAGACCAACCGATTTCATCATCTCACTCAAATACCTTGCCATCAACCCGACCGTCATGTGTACCATCTTAGGTGAGATAAGAGAGAATGAATTCGATAATAAATGAATAAAATACAAAAGATAATATTTTTGTTAGGTTTTGATTATCAAAACCCGTGATACACTTCGGTGTAATTTAAGAGAGAACCACTACGAGAAAGAAAGAAAGAGAATACATGGGATATCATTATTTGCGTAGAATGAGAGTGATAGATTTTTCTGTTGAGCAAAATACATTTGTCAATATTTAAGTAAGTTTACCTAGTTTATTCACATTGGCATTTGGCATCTTCGAAAAATAAATCTAAAATCATACCACGATCATCCTACGCGATATTTAAAAGAGAGGTATGCATAATGCATTTGCTATTATGTGTGGGAAAGGCGCAGTATAGATCCAACTGCTCTCTAATTACGAGTAATTTAGTTTTTATAGATTTAAAGATTACAAGTAATTTAGTTTTTATAGATTTAAAGAAATCGGTAGTTTTATTGATGATATAATATAACAAATGTATTTGATCGTACTGGGTCAGTTACCTCCGTTTTTCACACAATGCTTTATGATACATTCCTGAATGATTCAGCGTTACTTCATTTAAACTTTCAGGCAAGTATAGGGTAAGAAATAATTTTTCTTTCCTGAGTAATATATTTCTGGAGCTTTCACAAAAGTGTCTAATCATCATAATTATTTGGTATAATCTCGCATTGAAATACAGGCATCTGCGCAGATACCATGCTTGTTTCAGGTTGTGCAGCCTTCATGCCGAAGTTTACACAGAATCAGTTTCGACAGACGGCAAGTTCAGCAAATTTTCTTATCGGTAAGTGAACAATAGGACAATTACTTTTTTTTAAATAAAAATGACTTAACTAGTGTTGTCGCTTTATTAAACCAATAACCAGATTATTATTTTTGGAGATGGGAGAGGCAAGGGAGCTAGAGACTGCAAATTATTGTACATTGGAGCAATTTTTTTATTCTGCCGCCAAACACTCAAACGTACCGACGAACGAATATCTTCTGCTGGAAAATGACGAACTTGTTGCTCCCTTTACCCCCATTTCTCCATCATTGAGGAGTGAAATTTTGTAGATATAAATCTAGTGAAGGTGACATTACATGTGCATTGGGCGTATTTGAAATATTATGAAATGCCTCTTTCTCGGAAGAGTATTTCTGTAAAATTTCAAATCACATTCCATCAATGTGAACGAGGTGAATTAATGGTGTCTCCGATTGACTTAGATTCGAAGCCGTTCCAAGACCCCAACTCTTACCACTGGACCCTGTTGTGTTTTTCTCCTGGACAGGTATCGCAATGCTCCCGGGTCTCTCTGGTGGCGTCCTGCTTGGCGGTCTCCTCACAAAGAAGTTCAACCTTAAAGTCCGCGGCATGCTGACCTTTGCTATATTCTCTGGGTTAGTCACCATTGTGCTATTAGGGACTTTGCTTCTGCGTTGCCCCCAGCTACCGGTCATAGGCGTAACAGCCGCATACGACGGACAGAAGTAAGTCTTTGAACTTAAAATTGTATTCCAATCATCCGTTTTTCAGCATTCCTGTCATTTGTATTTACTCAGAGACAAAATGAAGGCAAGTTTGATAGTGAATATGAAAGGAAATTGTATAATTTCAAGGTTTAGTTAATTTTTGTTAAATCATTAAAAGCAGGTCTTTGCCTTTTGAAGCTGATCGGGAACATTGATTCCGATTTTATGTGCAATATGAAGTTCTTAAATATGATCGCCATGTGGGACTGAAGATTGTCCAGACTTTGTATTCGGTACATAATTTTATCTGATAAAAATTGGTAAATAAAGATTGAAAAGAGACATTTTGTTGATGAGGATGACATCACCATTACTGCAATAGCAATGTCAATGCATATCTTGATTATCATCGATGATAATGTGGTGGTAATGATGATGATAATGATGATGATGTTGATGATGACGATGTTGATGATGCCGTGGCTAAGGTACTACTAGTGGTGGTAGTAGTGGGGAAGGTTGGATGGTAATGATAAGCTAATTATATATATTTTAAATGGTGGAGATTATACAAAAATCGTAAAGGTATTGGTGATGATAATTGATATGATGGAAATATCATTGAGATGATGGTGATGACGACGATGACTGTTGATCTTAATAGTAGAGGATTAAATTCGTCGTCAATGATTAAGATAATGTATCAAGTAATCTCTCTTTTTAAGACGTATGGATGATTTCTTCATCATCATTAATTATATAGAACAACTTCTAATTTGTCCATTTTCGATTCTTTCTTTTGGCAGTCTTATGGAGTATCATGAAGACAAGCGGCTTGAAGATGAATGTAACTTGGGTTGTCATTGTAAAACCGAACAGTACAATCCTGTATGCGTCGAAGGGGGTATTGCTGAGTATTTCGACCCATGCTATGCTGGATGTAAAACGGATTTTGGGAACGGGGTAAGTTACATCATTCATCCGTCATCATCGGTCCCATTTACACATTAAAAATTCATAGTTAAAGTTCTTGTTACTCGTAGAAAACATTGTTAACTACTGTTTTGACCATCCAATATTTGTACAGACTCCTCAGTCTTACGTGGCCATGTTTGTTGATCTACATTTGTTTTATATATGTTCTGTGTGGTGATTAATTTTCGTTTGTTGTTTGTGCATTTCGTCTATTGTAAATTTCGATCATAATTTTGATTGTAATTTTGTATCAACATAGTGAAACAATTCAGATTAATTTTCTTGTACTTCTAAATGTATCTTTAAAATACTGAAAAATCAGTTGAGCATTGAATTATTTATATTCCCATAGATTTTTATAAAAAATGCATGCCACGTAATTATTGATAATTTCAAACAAAACAAAAATGTAAGTAGATATATTTCCCCCTAAATATGAATTCTAAAGCGTCACGAAATCAAGAGAAACCCTCTTTTAACATACTACACAATAATTCGTCCTTGTTTTCACGAAGTGACGGTAGTGAGGAAAATCGTAACGCAAAGTGAATGCAATTTTTTTTCACTACCGTCACTTCGTGAAAACAGCGACGAATTATTTAATCATCAATCACGTTAATGCCTTGACAATATGGTCAGATGTATCACTCCATCTTTCTTGCCAAGTAGACAAATCTCACATCATTATGCAGAATATCATTACAACTTGCGATCACATCTTTCTTCCCATACGAAGATAGATATTTGGGCGTGTTATAAAATACTGCATGAGATTACGAACCGAATGTCCCGAATTCACAAAGGAGGTTTGTCGACAAACATTGGTTTTCGTGCGTCAAATGACGCGTTTCGACGCGTTTTTACAAACCAGGTTTGTAAGAAAACGCGTAAAAACGCAATTCGGGCCATTAAGTTGTGATGACATTCTTCTTTCCATGTCCGATGTGACGTAATTATCTCGGCATGCGATGACACGTGGCATGTGATCTTAAAGCGTATATGGACAGCGAACTTAAATTTCAACAACAAAACAATTGCTGTCCATACTTTAGGAATGCTGTAAGAGATTTCACTCTGTATGGACAGCCATACTGCCGCGAGTAAGGCTTATCATCCCGAAGGAAAAGCTTGCATGGACGTACACTGCGACATGTTTCGTGTCCTCTCATATTTATTATGACCAGCAATGGCAGTCTCCTCATTGCGGATGCGATTAGCCGTAACAGGCGACTCTGGTGCTTGTACTAGTAATGGTTGTGCATTATGGCTTCATCATGGTCGCCAGACTCTCGCCAATTGTGAATAATTAACTTCACCCACTTGCCTATACAAATGAAAATAGGATCAGAGTGCTGTAAGATGAAATCTGAAGTGAGATGTGAAAGAGAGAGATGAAGAGAGGAGTAAAAGGGGAGAAAATAGAAAATACATCCTAGAGAAAGATGGGGAGGGAGAGAGGGGATGGGTGGAGACGGGACGATGCAGAGAGAGGTAAAGAGAAAGAAGCGGAAAATAGATAGATATGGAGAAAGATAGAAAAGAGAAGAACGGAAACAAGAGAGAGGGGAAGAGACATAGATAAGAATAGAGACGGGAAGATCCGGAGAGAGAGAGAGAGAGAGAGAGAGAAAATAGAGAGAGAGAGAGTAAGAGAATAGAGATAGACAGGGGAGATCCAGAGAGAGAGATGAAGAGAAACTAGAATACGGAAAAAAGAGAGATAAACAGAAAAAGTTGGAAATTATATAGAAAGATAGAGAGAGAGGAGAGAGAGAGAGAGAGAGAGAGAGAGGGGGGGTGGGGGTAGGGATACACTAGAGATAAAGGAGGTATGGATAGACTAGAGAGATGGGATAGGAAATGTATTGGTGTAAGAACACTATAGTGAGAGAAGATCAAGGGCGAGGGCTTCGGAAGAGAGGAAAAGTGAAAAAGATAGATATCATCATTTATACAAAAAGTAGGAAAAAGAGACTGCGGTGTTTGATATTTTTGTATGCATACTTTTTAGATCATTAATGATACGAAAAAGATAATCGCATAATAATATAGATCTGTATACACTTTAAAAATACGTCACGACCGACCGTCATGACAATACTACTGATCAACCTAGTTCACCACATTCGCATTGTAAAAAAAAAGATAGTTTGTTATGCCGGAGATTACACGTATGCACTCTGGGTCAATGACCAATTCAGAAAATGAAATAATTCTGTAATCCAGTTTAAACATAGCCAGAGGTCTGATCTCTCCTTCGAGCTCGCCTTAGCTTTCGTCTATAGCCCCATCCCCTTTTCACCCTCCATCAGGCGCGTACGCAGGATTATTTTTCGAAGGGGGGGGGGGGTTTAACTTTTAAAATCGCGCCGAAAATTTCGCAACGACTCAGCCAGCCGCTGAATAAGTTGGGGGGGGGGGGGGGGGGGGGGTAAGGTCACCTTCTTTTGGTCACCCATTAAAAAAAAAAAGGGAAGTTCCTGCAAAACACACACACATAAATAATTTGAGGGGGGATTGAATCCTCCCCCCCCCCCTTCCTGCGTACGCGCCTGCCTTCAATATGAAAGGTATTACAAAGTTTGGGGAAATTTTGAAAATTGGGTGGATAGTGATTCTTTACAAATTTGGATGCCCCTGTGGATGTATTACAATTACTAGAAAATTTAGCCCCTAAAACATTTCTGCTTTAGAGAAAATTGAATATAACAATTTACCGGTGCTCCCGGTAAATTTTGATAAATTTCAGATAGCGCTTACGGCCGTACAATGGTAGCTACGACCATGAAAATCTCAGAATATGTAGTTGTGATATATAATTTCCAAACGGGAATAGCTCATCGGTCTATTTTAGTCAAGAAACATTGTTTCATAGCTTACTTAATATCTTGACCTTGAGAGGGAGCTATACAACATAAAGAGTTTATTATTTAAAATTTCATAACTTTAGGCTCGAATTTCAACCGCGACAACGATAACAGAATATTGTAGGATCACATATGCTTCTAATATGTTCATTTGAATCAAATTTATGACCCCATACCAAAACTTTGTATTACCTTTAAGCCTCACCACTGTGTTGTAATCTTCATTTTCGTTCTTCTTTTAAAAAACATTGCGATTCTCAAGCCTTATCCATCAAAAAGACAAAGCCTTCCTATATCTGTCCTGTACACTCTAAACACAAACGCCCATTCACCTCTCCCATCCTTCCCTCCCATCCTTCCCTCCCTAGCTACCATCAGTACCCCTCCCCAGTGGCGTACCTGGGGTACTCCGTCAGGGGGGCAAGCGACCGAAACAAACAAAAAAAGGCGATGCTAATTTTCACTTCTGGCGAGCGAGCGAGCAAAAAAAATTCTTTAAGTAACGTTTGGTATATAAACTGGTATCAGGCGCGGATCCAGGGGGGGGGCCGAGCGTGCCTTGGCCCCCCCCCCCGCAAAAAAAAAAAAAAAAAAAAAAGAGAGAGAGAAGGAAAAGAAGGGAAAGAGGAGAGAAAGGGAAAAAAAGAAGAGGAAGAAGAAAAGAAAAGAGGGAAGAAGGAGATCGGGGGGAAGGACTTGCCTCCCCCTCCCCCCCCCCCCCCAATAAAAAAATAAAAGAGAAGGAAGGAAAGGGAAAGAAAAAGATAAAGAGGAGATAAAGGGAAGGACAAAATAGGAAGAAGAAGAAAAGAAGGGGATAACAGTTGCAATTTTCCCGCCAACAAGTTGTGGATCGAGGGGGGAAAGACCCTAGCCTCCCCCCCCCCCCCGCCCTCCCGTCCCCGCTAAAAAAAGAGAGAAGGAAGGAAAAGGAAAAGAGGAGAGCTAAAAGGGAACAAAAAGAGGAAGAAAAAAAGAAAGGGAGAAAAGAAGCGGAGATTAGTTGCGGTTAATCCCGCCAACAATGTGCGTAGCGGGTTTGGGGACCCAAATGACCATGCCCCTCCCCCCCTCCCGCAAACCTAAAAGAGAGATAAGGAAGGGAAGGGAAAGTGAAAAAGGAGAGAAAGGGAAAGGAAAAAAAAGAAAATGAAGAAAGGTAAGGGATATCAGTTGCAATTTTCCCGCCAACAAGGTGTAGATCGGAGGGGGGGGGGGGGGCACTGGCATACTGATAGGGGAGGGGGGGGGGGGGGTTGGAGAAATAGAATTCAAACGTGGTTTATTTATAATTCCATAACGGTGGTTAACAGATAATGCTGAAATGAGATAATTTTTCTCACTTCATGCGTTTGTTGGAAAATGACAAATTCCTAAATTTACAGCCAGGCAAGAAAATGCTTCTTGAGATGCCTACATATCAGGGCCCGCGGAACGGCGGGGATCGGGATCCTCGAGCCCCTCCCCCACACTTTCTTTGAAAAAGTATATTAAAGAGAAATAGAAAGAAGAGAGCGAGAAAGAAAAATAGTTAACTGCCAGTGTCACATTATAATGGGGTTTCAAGATCTCATCTGACATCTCATCATTGCTCATCTGACCATGATTAAAATTAATGCCTAAAATCCTAAGGGCTCTGCCCCCTGGATTCCACCTAGGGCCCTAAGGCGGGCCCTTAGATGCTCATATGACGGTCATTTAATGCCTAAAACCCCTGATTTCTGGGGGCTCTGCCCCCTGGACCCCACGCCAAATAGTGTCCTGCTAGTGTCACAAATAATAAGGTATCAAAAATGCTCATCTGACCGTAATTAAACGCCTAAAACCCCTGAGCTTCTGGGGGCTCTGCCCCCTGAACCCAACCAAGAGCCCTTAGGCGGGCCCCTCGATACTCATCTGACCGTAATTGAGTGCCTAAAACCCTTGAGATTCCGGGGCTCCGCCCCCTGAACCCCAAGCAAATTAGTGACCTGCCATTGTAACAATTAGGTATCAAAATAATGCTCATCTGACCGTAATTAAATGCCTAAACTCCTGAACTTCCGGGGCTCTGCCCCCTGGACCCCGTCTAGGGCGCTAAGGCGGACCCCTGAATGCTAATCTGACCGTAAATTAAAACCT